TATGAATAACCACTATTCTGACTAGTATCACTATAGATTGTTTTGCCTGGACTTGAAATTCATATACATGGAATATACAAAAAATATTCTGATGTGCCTGGCTTCTTTCACTGAGCATAATATTTCTGGAGTTTATTCATTGTCGTATGTATCAGTAGTATATTCTTTTTTATTGCTGGCCATGGTATGACTATACAGCAAATGTTTAATCCATTCTTCTGATTTTGGGTTGCTTCCAGTTTGGGGCTATTAGGAATAAGACTTCTATTTATATTTTTGTGCTTTTTGTGGACACACACACTCATTTCTTCAAAGACTTACTTGATGAAAGGATTATCAATTGTAGTATATTACCTACCTAATGGGTATTAGACAGCGCATCTGCTCTGCTTTAAGACAAATATACTGATTAAAAAGGAAGTTTTAGCAGTAAAATACAAAATAACTATATATGAATACAACTAAAAGACTGCTATGTAATATTTATTAATAGCTTTTAGTTTAGATACAGAAGGGAAAGTTGGAATGGGGTCAGTTCAGAATAGGCTTTCCAGGCCTTGGAGGGATCTGGGTCTTTTCTTCTATCAGCAGATGAGTGGATAAAAAAGCGGTGGTACATTTACACAATAGAATTCTACTCGGCTGTAAAAAAAGCATAAATGGACCTGGAAAGTATCATGCTAAGTGAAATAAGCCAGTCAGAGAGAGACAAATACCATGTGATTTCACTTATATACAGAATCTAATGAACAAAATAAGCTAGCAAACAAAATAGAAACAGACTGACAGCTGTTAGAGGGGAGAGGTGTTAGAAGGTTGTGTAAAAAAAGTGAAGGGACTAAGCAAAACAACAACAACTCATAGACAAACAATAGTATGGTGATTACCAGAGGGAAAAGGGGTGGGAGAACATAGAAGAGGGAAAAGGGGAGATAAATGGTAACTGAAGGACACTTGACTTTGGGTGGTGACCACACAATACGATGTTCAGATAATGAATTATGGAATTGTCCACCTGAAACCTATATAACTTTATTAACTAATGTCACCCCAATAAATCAGTAAAAATTTTAAAAAGAAAGAGCCATCTACACATACAAGTCTGAGTAAACAATTAATTATTAAATGTAAATAGGCACTGAGTGGGTCATATCTTGTGAACACCTTGGTTATATGATGTTTTGCATGTGATACTAATTTTCTTATGTTTGCACAAAGAATTCTGTAAAATGCTTCACTCCTTTGTTAATTTTACCACTAAACTGTGAACGTCTCAAAATCAGTACCCATTTCTGACTTATAGTTACTATGCTACAGCACCCAGTACAATTTATTGTACATAGAAGATACTTAATCTTTTTTAATGAATAAGTGTATGAAATGTCTATCATGAAAGTACCTTATTATGGATTGTTAGAAATAAGGTGAGCCACCCAAGTCAGGGGTTTTGGTAGAATATAAAACATACTCGGGAGCCAGGGAGCAAGGCAAACATCTTTACTTCTGCGTAGAAGGGCGCGCACACATGGTCGGAAGCGCACGTACACCTAGTAGGTGGGCTGCTGGGTTTTATAATCCCTGACGCATGTGACCCGTCCTTTGCTCTTGATTGGAGCTCAGGCACACAGTCTTTCCCGATTGGCTAATTCAAAGGGAGGGGCTGGCCTTTGCTGTTTCAAGATGTTGGCCCCCAGGGGAGCTGCAAGCCATGCGGCCATCATGGCGGCTGCCAGGTCACGCAGCCCCAAATGGCGGCTGTCTAACCTGTTCTTTGACAGAAAAGATGACTTGCTTATTCTCACAATGGATGATTATCATAATATTTGTAAGAGATTTCAGCTGATATATCAAGTCATTGGAATGTAGATTTCTTTCCCAATGTTTGTGTTGCTATTTTGCCTATTAACTAGTTAAAGGTGGTAGATGTGAATCCTTATATGTGTCTCTATTGTCTTAATAAAGATGTTTTATTTTCCTCTGTGTACCCAATTTTTGTGCACGAAAATCCTCCTTCCCACATTTCCATAGTATACTACATTTATTTCTTGGTCCCTTTCTTATCTGTGGCCTTCTTTACTATAAAGTGGAGGAAAATGTCTAGCAACCTGTAAAGTTTTAAATTTTTTCTATACTATTAGACTTGAGTGAATGTTAGATCTTAGATAATCCTCAGAGACCACCATCCAACCCCTTTATTTTATAGATCAAGAACCTGAAGCCCCAATTACTTCGTCAGTCATGCCACATGATTTTACAGTTGCTTGTTTAATTGTAGGCATTTCCAGCTGGACTTTAAACTCGGTGGGAATGGGGATCACATCTGTCTTATTTAATGCTGCATCTCTAGCACTGAGTGCAGTGCTTGGAACAGAATAGAGCAGGTTGTACTGAATACTGTTTCATTATGACAATGAGATGCTGTAGGAACTTAACTCTTATTTCTATCAATTAGCCTAAAGTAAAATTTGTTTCATTATACATCATTTTGCTTAAACTTGCAGAACCTATTAATGACATTCAGTGAGGACTGACGTTCAGTTATTGGTGTTGAATGAATGAATGAATGAATGAATACATAAATACATAAATGAATATTGGTGAAGGGCCTTGTAGCTCATAGCTGGTGAGTCCCAGTTTAGCATATTTAAATTTGGACACATATTCCACCAGTGTAGAGAGTCACGTTTATGGAAATGATTAATTTCTTTATGTGCATGGCAAGCTCTGCACTTTACACATTTCCAGACACAGCACACTGGCTTTTTCCCCCTGCACACTGGCTTTCAATATGCAGAGGACAGTTAGGCAGGACAGCAGTTGACCAAAGAAACATCAAAGGATGTGCTGCCTCATTTTTGCCCGGCTAATATGTAATTTCCTGCTTGATAATATACAACCTCATGAATGGTGGTTGTGGATGGGACTGTAACAAACATCATCTGTTTCCTTCCCCTGATTTCTCCTTCCCAGTTCAGTTCTTTAGCTTGACCTTTGTAACCTTCCATGCTCTTCCAACCTGTTTTTCATAACTCGTATCTGGCTACTTTCCTTAACCTCTATTTTCAAGCAAATGAAAGTGTTTGCTGTTCTCTGTACACTCTGAACTTCCCAACTTTCTTGCTTTACTCAACATTGTTTTTCCTCATTACTCTGTATATCCTGATTCTACTAATTCAGTCAGTCCACAAATATTTATTATTTTTAAAATACATATTTTTTTGATTTCAGAGAGGAAGCGGGGGGAGGGGGGCGGAGAAAAAAACATCAATGATAAGAATCATTGATTGGCTGCCTCCTGCACACCCCACACTGGGGATCAAGCCCACAACCCAGGCATATGCTCTGACCTGGAATTGAACCGTGACCTCCTGGTTCATAGGTTGGCACTCAACCACTGAGCCACATTGGCCGGGCCGCAAGTATTTATTGAAGCCTCATTCATCTTTGAGAATCCTCCACATTTGCTTACTAGTCTAAGTCTGTCAGACATTAATTTGTTAAAATGGCTTTTACACATGATTAGCGTAGTTCTCTAGCATTTTTAAGCAGTTTCTTTAAATCCTGCATTTTTGGAAGCACTTTTAGTTTCAATTTACGTTCATCCTGCTTTTATGTGCTCAGGTGTTTGCAGCGTCCAAAAATCAGAATGAGAGAGTGACATAAACAGGTTCCCAGGAATAAACACTAGTATTTGGGGGGGGCGGGGGGGGAGCGAGAGTTTGAGTGGAGACTGGTCAGCTCATTGGTGAATATTTTTTAATATGACAGCTTTTATTTCCCTTCACAATTTCATGATTATAGGGTCGTAGTTAATGAGCATCTGGGTAATGAGGACTTTTGTACTTTATTTGTGTGAGCAGAGCGTGTTTGCTCAATAATCTGTTAGAGAATTTAGCTCACCACTCAGGTCCTCAAGTGAGTGAATGTTCCTCATGAAACCCCTGGAACATGCTTCTTTAAGTTGTCATACTTTGAACTTTCAAAAAGTTTGGCACCCTGACAGAGGATTAAGGATCTTTGGGCTTAAGCCTTTATAGTTCCCTTGTTTCTAATGCCTAGCCTGCTTTCACCGTGTTCAAAGTAATCCATCCTCAGTGTTACAGGCTTAATGTACATGCAAGTGTAAAAATAGATCGCCAGCCCATGGGAACCAGGCTGGTGTCAGGCAGGTCATTATAAGAGGCAATCACTTTTAGCATGAGAGGTTTAGAAATCAGAAATTGATGACACACACACACACACACACACACACACACACGTCTTCATGAAACAGTAGTGCTTAATGTTCAAATATAATACAGAGATGATTGCCAAGAAGCTATCAGCATGGGTGATTTGGGGATTACTAATTTAAAAACAAGGAAAGCCTCCCTCCCTCCCTCCCTCCCTCCCTCCCTCCCTCCCTCCCTCCCTCCCTCCCTCCCTCCCTCCCTTCCTTCCTTCCTTCCTTCCTTTCTTCCTTCCTTCCTTCTCCAGCACCTAGATAGGTACTCTAGGGGTTGTGGATCATCACCATTTTATTGTCCCTATGCAGTGATATTAACTAGATAACAGTTTTTTTCTTTTAAAATTGATTTTAGAGAGAGAAAGGGAGGGGGGGAGAGAAGGAGGAGGGAGGGAAGGAAAGAAAGAAGAAAGAAAGAAGAAAAGGAAAAAAGGAAGGAGGGAAGGAGAGGAGGAGAGGGAGAGGAGAGGAGGAGGGAGGAGGAGGAGGAGAGAAAAGAAAGATCTATGCGTTGCCTCCTGTATGCGCCCCAACTGGGGATTGAACCTGAAACCTGTGCATGTGCCCTGACTGGGAATTGGACCCAACACCTTTTGGTGTACAGGACGATGCTCCAACCAACTGAGCCACATCAGCCAGGGTCAACTAGACACCGTTTTGAAGTGCATTTCTTTTTTGTGCTACACGATGACCATAGTTCAAGGAAATTGAAGTAATTGACATATGGGAATATCTTGGGTAATAATGGCTTCTTGTTTTGATTATTTCCCTTTAGGAAAGACACTGCTGATCCTGTAACATGGAGGATTGCCTTCATACCTCTTCTGAGAATCTGTCCAAATTGGTCAGCTGGGCCCACAGCCATGGGACTATTTGCAGCCTCATTCCTAACCTGAAACACTTGCTTTCGGAAGGTTCTCACGGGAACCTGACAGCAATGTGGGGCTGCAGTGCTGGCCATGCTTATCACTGGCCACTGACAGCTACTTGCAGAGCTGGCTCCCAAGAGAGGGTCTGTTTCCAGGATAACAGAAGTTTTAACTCGGATAGTCCCAGCATAATTGGAGTGCCCTCTGAGACACAAACCAGCCCCGTTGAAAGGTACCCTGGGAGACCAGTGAAAGCGAAGCTAGACTGTAATCGGACCAGAGACTCTTGTGACTTCTCTTACTGCAGTGAGCCCTCTGAACTGGATGACGCTGTCGAAGAATATGAAGATGAAAACACCCTGTTTGACATGGTGTGTGAGTCGTCTGTTACAGATGAGGATAGTGACTTTGAACCCCAAACCCAACGGCCTCAAAGCATTGCTCGAAAAAGGCCTGGAATACTCCCGTCCTCTCTCCATTCAAGCTCCCAGGCTCAGATGGTTGATGAATGCAGCAATGATGTCATCATCAAGAAGATCAAACAAGAGATTCCTGAAGATTATTACATTGTGGCAAATGCAGAGCTGACTGGAGGAGTCGATGGACCAGCCCTGTCGTTGACACAGATGGCAAAACCCAAGCCTCAGACTCATGCTGGCCCCTCTTGTGTAGGGTCTGCTAAGCTAATTCCCCATGTATCTTCTGCCATCAGCACAGAGCTAGAGCCACATTGTGTGTCTGCATCCCCCTCTGTGATGTCCAGACCAGTCGTCCAGAAGACCAGCAGGGCATCTCTGGCTTCACCAAACAGAGGACCCTCCGGTACCCATGGCACCAACCAGCAAGTGACCATGCAGATGCCTGTGAGCACATCCCATCCTAACAAACAGATCAGCATCCCGTTGTCTGCCCTGCAGCTGCCTGGACAGGATGAGCAAGTGGCTTCCGAAGAGTTCCTGCCCCATCTGCCCAGCCAGGTCTCTTCCTGCGAGGTAGCCCTTTCTCCTTCCGTGAACACAGAGCCAGAAGTGAGCTCCAGTCAGCAGCAGCCCCAAGTCGCTCCAACCATAACCACCGAGGCCATGGCACAGTGCATACCAGGTATGGCATGTGAGGTGACAGTGCGTCCCTCATCCACGTACATCAGAGAATTCTGCGCCGTCAGCACTTCTAAAGCAGAGGCCCCGTTAGGTAGAATTCGGGCCTTTAATATTCTCAGAAAGATAGAAATAGTGAAATGTGTTATACATAGGTGATGCTATAAAGGAAAGTCTGAATTAAGGCCATCCACCCAGTGGATGTACCTCAGGACTGAGAGGAGAGCCATAGGATTGTGCTGTTGAAAACACGTGGCTAGACTTAAGGTTTGTATCTGATCTTAAGTTGAATTTTTATGTAGTTATATATATTTTTTTAATGTATGCTGTCCTATTAGTACCAAGGTATTTGGTTGCTGTTTGAAGCCAAAATGATGTTGGGTTAGGCATATAATGACAATAGACCTAATGCTTTACCATTATCATTTATTTGTCTGAACCAACTGGGCATTTCTATTTATTTTAGTTGATGTGGCAGTTTAAAACAAGTTGTTGTTTTTAAAGAAACAAACAAAACAACAACAACAAGCATTTCTCAAGTATTTGCTCTCTTCTCAAAATTTTAAAAAATCAGATAGCTTGCATTTCTGCAGTACATGGGGTCTAACAGGAATGGATTGAGAGGAGAGGGAAATAATTATCTGTAATTCGAACATCTCATTTCTGTAATTTTAACATTCAGTACTTACTTAATCTGGGTTATTATTATATAAAGGGGGTTTGGATGTCATGCTTTGAGGTTCATGATTCAAATCTAATAGACCAGAATTAGAAACACGGAGAAGGATGGACAGACATGCAAAGGATAGAGAGCAGAAATTTGTGCCACATTTTGGTTTTATTTTAGTCCCTCTCAAGAAAGTCATGTATTTTGTGAAAAGCTTCCTAGCAGCCTGAGGTACCTGTGCCTTTATCCTATAACTTCCTAGAATTAAGTTGCTTTACAAAAAGCTTTCCCAATGTTAGTGTCAACCTTAAGATCCCCAAAGGGAACCTTTGATGTTTGATTTTTTTTAACACAATCATGGTATAATAAAATATACCATTGAAAATATTTGTATCTTGATTCAAAATTATGCTTTTCCATGTATTTTTCTTTCATTTTAAAATAATAGCTTTCTTTAACTATAATTGAACTATAATTTACATACTATAAAATTCACTCTTTTAAAGTATATAATTCAGTGGTTTTTGGTATATTCACAGACTTGTGCACCCATCACCACTAACTAATCCTGTACCCACTAGCAGACAATGTTTCTTTCCTCCAAGCTACTGTCAACCACCAGCTTTTCTGTCTCTATGGATTTGCCTATTTTGCACATTTCATATAAATGGAGTCATATTATGTAATCTCTTGAGATGGCCTTCTTGCACTTAGCATATTTTCCCCCTTTTTTTCTTTATTGATTAAGGTATTACATATGTGTCCTTATCCCCCCATTGCCTGCCCCTTCCCCCCCCGGCTCATGCCCTCACCCCCCTGGTGTCTGTGTCCATTGGTTATGCTTATATGCACTTAGCATAATTTTTTAAAAGATTAATCTATGTTGTAGCATACGTCAGCATTTATTTTCTTTTTATTGCCAAATAGTATTTTATTGTATGGATACCATATTTTTTATCTTTATCAGTTGATGGACATTTAGATTGTTTACATTTTTTGGCTATTGTGAATAATGCTGTTAATAACATTTGTGTACAAGATTTTGTGTGGACATGTATTTTCATCTCACTTGGGCAGCTACCTAGAAGTGGAATTGCTGGGTTATATGGTGACTCTGTGTTTCTGAGGAGCTGCCAAACTGTTTCCCAAAGCGACTACACCATTTTACAGTCTCACCAGCAATCTAAAAGGTTCCTATTTCTCCACATGTTCCCCAATACTGGTTATGTTCTATTTTAAAAATATTATAGTTGTTCTATTTGGTGTGTTAAGTAGTTTCTCATTGCTGTGTTGCTTTGCACTGCCCTAATGACTAGTGCTGTTAAACTTTTTTTCATGTGGTTATTGGCCATTTGTATATCTTCTTTTGAGAAATTCAGATTCTTTGCCCATTTTCTAATTAGATTGTCTTTTTATTGGTGAGTTGTAAGAGCTGCTTATACATTCTGATTATAAGTCCCTCATCAGATAGATGATTTGTAAATATTTTCTCCCAATTCCATGAGTTGTCTCTTCCTCCGTCCCTCCCTTCTTTTTGTTTGTTTGTTTTACTTCATTCATGTAATAACAATATGGTTTTTTGCTGATCTTCATAACATTAGACACAATGTTATCTTAATAGGTTGAGAAAGTCTTAGTAGTAGGAAATCTGACTCTTGATAGATATAGGATATAAGTAGTACTTTTTCACTTAGATAGTTGTGAGTCTGATTTATTTATTTCTCACCACCACCACTTTATTTCCTCCTCCTCCTCCTCCTCCTCCTCCGCCTCCTCCTCCTCCTCCTCCTCCTCCTCCTCCTCCTCCTCCTCCTTTGTAAAATAGGAGACAGCCTGACAGAATTTTCTGAGTTCTCTATTTATATTGGCGAGTAGAATTGTCTTTTACAAAGTGGGTCAGTGTCCCCAAACAATGAAATTGTGAGAAAAAAAACAACAACTAAGAAAATGTAATCTTATGAGAGCTATAAAAGGCAAACAGGGCCAAGGATAGCACATAACATGTAAAATCATAAACTATGGTTTGGCTCTACTCTCACAGGAAAGATCAGTTTAGCTTGGAATTGAACCTTCAAGAAAAAATGGTATGAAGAACGTGATGGGAATTTCCTAAGGAATGATCCTGATATTTTGATCCATTGTTCTGTGGAAGGATATTATATTGCTAAGATGTTACTAGCTTTAGAGAAATACTGTTTGGATTGGAAACATCAATGGGACAGATAAATATCTGGCATTTTTCTATTGGAAAAGAGATAGAAAGTTAACTTATAATTTATCTTGTTCCACAGAGCCCAAATTGTTCTTGGTGCTATAAAAGTTTTACTTAATTGTTTTTGTATATTTATAGTAAATGGTTGTACTATAAATGTTTTATTTATTTGTTTTTATATATTTATTTGTAAGTAGTCTTCATTCTAAACATAGGTTTTTTTAAAAAAATTAGAATCCAGTGCATCCAAATATATGTGAATAAATATGTACAGATGGACCTTACAAGGTTAATATGTAAAGCATTACTTGGGACTAAGCAAGGAGGAGAGGTTCTAAAAGAACTAGCTGAAAGCAGAATCAGGTACTTTTATTGTGTGTGTGTGTGTGTGTGTGTGTGTGTGTGTGTGTGTGTCTTCACAAAGACTTGCATGTTTATTTTCTCAGCAGCAGTGTTCATAATAGTAAAAAACTGGAAACAATCCAAATATCTGTCAGCTGGTGAATGGATGAACAAAAGCATATATCTATACCATGGACTACTATTCAGCAATATAAAGGAATGAAGTGTGGATACATGCTACAATGTGGTGGAATCCTGAAAACATAGTATTGGGTGAAAGAAGCCAGACTTAAAAAAGCCACATATCATATGATTCCATCTAAATGCAGTGTTCAGAAAAGGTAAATCTATAGAGACAGAAAGCAGATTAGTGATTTCCTGAGGGTGGGAATGTTACTGCAAACAGCAAGAGGGATCTTTTCGGAGAGCAGAATCAGTTGCTTTTAAAGTGGATGTTGTATAGGCTTGAGTCTTTATTAAGTCACTGTAGAAATACTGTGTATCTTTGAATAATATTTTTTAAATAAATAATTTGAGTCAGTCAGAAACAAAGATAAATTGTCCCACTTTGTTTAGTTTCTCAGATGCCATTTAAATTCATTTCCCCTATTGGAAAACCATTCTTATTTTTGTCCGGAACTAAACTCACAAAGTTACAATATTTTAACCAGGTTGTGGATAAACATTAATTTTTCACATCAGTTCTGTCATGCTGCTCAACCCAAATATTAGCAAATTGTAATGAGTAAAGAAGACGTACATCATTAGAAGAATTATTGGCTATCTCCCATTAGCTTAGATTCTGTTCATTTTGGAGGTTTTTAATCGGGACATCCGTCATAAATTTAAATCTCTATTGCATCATGAGTTGAGAAGCAGTGCTCCGGGGAATGCAGGGTCCACACTCCGGGGCACATTGTTATTTCATGTGGGTACCCCGTAAATTTGAACACGTCCTGTGTGTGAGAATTCCCACCTTTATGCATCTGCACTTCCCAATTTGGGGGGGGGGCAGGAACTTGCTTTCCAAGCTCATATTTCAGTGAGGGCTGTCCTGTGGCCTTAGGCACATCAGACTAAGCAGAAGGACCTGGAAGAGGCTGTTTTGGCAAATACAGTCAGTTTGTAGAGGCAGTGAGAGCAGCATTCCAGCAACAGTTCCAGTGTGTGAGGCCCATGCTGGAGTGTTGGTGGCTAGGTCGTCTCCACCAAGGCACATCTGTGGTGTGGTCAGGGCATGATTTGTAGACACCTCCAAGCCTGATTTAGTGGTGGTCCAGGAAATGCTTTGTATGGCCTTCATTAAATTATTTTTCTGCCTAAAGCTAGCTAGACGGGGCTCCCATTGTCTTAAACAAAGCATCTGGAGGAATACCACCTGGAAACCTAGGAACGATATTAACCTCTCCTAAGAGTTGCATGAAAAAGAAAATAATTTTCCTTTTGCCACCAGGTTTGTAGTTTCATCTAAAACATATGCCATCCCCTTGGAAAGTAATCACTGGTACCATGATGCCCCTTATCGGGTGTTATCTTGCTGTACACATTGTGCAGGCGACCCATGGGATGGAGGAGAGAACTTCTTCTCACATAAACCATCCCTCCTTTCCCAGTGGGAGTTTCTACTGAAATGTGTCCTTTGAGAGGACCATTCCTTGTAACATATTCTCTGAACCTAGAATGGGAGGAGGAGGTACTTAGTGCCTTTGTGTTCAGAACAGGGCTCTAAGGGCATAATGGGAAATAGGAGAAATCCCATCTTGAATATTTATTAAAGGTCAAT